CGTGCAATTAATCCTTAATAGTACTTGGCCTCATGTGATTACCTATACTAATCAAAACTACAACAAAATTCTCAAATGTGATTGGTTATCACCAGACTGATTTGAACACTAATAGGACAGTGTACATGTTGTGCTTGTAATTGGACAGTGTAATAGGACAGTTAAAGGGACAGTTAACACATTATGCCCGTGTAAGTGAACAGAACACGTCGTGAGCATGCACTGTTGTCTCGCATTTTGCCAAGTTAACTGTTGATATTTTCATGAAAACGTATAACTAATGTCTAGCTTCTTTCTCAAATTTTGTCATCATTTTAATTAATTGGTAACAGGACTTTGTGTCATCCAATTCAGTTTGTAATCATACAAGTGATCAACAAATCGGACTCCCACTTTGTGGCTGTCCAATTTTGTCAATCACTTGTATAATTACAGACTGAATTAAATTTCACTCGGTCCTATTACCATCATGAATTGGATGACACAAAGTCTTATAACCAATTAATCATAAAAATTACAGTTTTGGCGAAAAAAAGAATAGCCAAGTTATGAAAGAAAGAGAAAATTTGCATTAAAAGACTAATAAAGAGGTGTAAATTGTTTAATGTCGCTCTGAGATTGGTTGTGATTGATTGATTGGTTATTGAACCGTCCGATAGCAAACTGTACAATAACAACTTGGCAAGTGAATTAGTGGAAAATGGAAGTTTTTTTTAACAAATCACAATTGAAGAAATTGTAATTTTTATGATTAAGTATGAAACACAGTTGTTGTACAAATTTAGGGATCTGTTGCTTCCTTAGAAAGGATGTAAAATCCTTAGGAGTTTCTCTAGATTGAACACAAACCATTCTAGCAAGTACCTCACACATGTCACAGAGTATGTCCTTAAGAATTTTACTCTGTTCTTTTGTATTTATTTTTCTTTGTTACAAAATCGTAATGTCATTTTTTATTATTTTTCCTGATAGTGGTGACTTGCATGTGGTTATAGAAGAAAATGCTATTAAAACTCTGGCCAACTTGTGTGATGGTGATGCTAGGATTGCCCTCAATGGTCTTCAACTTGCAATACAGTCACAAGTGGCCGCAGTAAAACAAAAACCAAAGAAGCAGGACACAAAAGAACTAAATGGCTCTCCATCATCGCAACAAAACCCTTCACCTAACATAGATGCTGATCCCCATGGAGATGATGAAGAACTAGTTTATATCAATGTATCTCACATCAAAGGTCTTCAAAAGACTCACTTGCTTTACGATAGGAATGGTGAAGAACATTATAACATCATTTCTGCCCTACACAAATCAATAAGGGGGAGTGATGAAAATGCTGCTTTGTACTGGCTGGCAAGAATGCTTGTTGGAGGAGAAGATCCTCTCTATGTTGCCCGCAGATTGGTGAGATTTGCTAGTGAAGATGTTGGTAAGTGAGTGGGTTAATTTTTTGCTGTACCTCAATTTTGTGGGGTTTTTTTTGTTTACTTAATTGTTTAATTTTATACGTTTTCAATTTGGAAAGTAGAAAGTGATGTGAATAATAATTTTGATACCCACCTTGCAAGGAGAAAGTATAGTTGATTGTCAATAAACAAGACAGCACCATTTGCACAATAGCTTCCCACATGGGTAAGCAAGGTCATCAGTAATCCTTCCTGTTAAATCGAGAGTAGCATTCATTAAAATTTGTCTTTTACATTAACACCACAGACATTCAAAATGCTCAATTAATATTATCACATTTTAACCCTCATCTGTAGGTTTAGCAGACCCACAGGCCTTGAACCAAGCTGTGGCCTGTTATCAAGCCTGCCATTTTATAGGAATGCCAGAGTGTGATGTAAGCTGTGTGTTCAGAAATGTTTAACAGTATCATTCTAATCAAGTGTCAAAAAGGAAAAGGAACTGCATTGGTTTCACTTGAGTGTGTTCTTTGATTGGTTTAGAAAATCTGTGTGAAAATCAATCAGATGCAAAACTAAATTTGACTGAAGCATGTAAATAGGCGCTTATTATTAAAGCTTTGGCACAAGACTGTCTTTGCCTGCGGTAAAATATGACGCCTTGAGCAAGGCAAAGTGTCCAGCACTAATATTAGTGCCAGATCCTCAGAGAAGCTCTCTCTGACCCATCTCAAATCTTCTAGCAGCTAGGCTGAGATATGTACCTCCAGCAGGCAGTTAATAAAGGTCTGCTGACTGGCTAGTTCAACAGTGACTTATTTGGGCCCTTGGACCTCCTTTCCCCTGATGGTGATTACATTTATTTACTTTCAATTGAGTTTAAATTGGCCTCGTGTAAGTTTTACCCTTATGATTGACTGTGTTATTTTTTATGAAAACAATAAACAAGAATTCTATTAGAGAAAGATGCTTTTCATCTTGTCACAAGGGTGAGACACAGGAAAAATTTTGAGTCCCATGAGGAATCGAACCTCAGACATTCAGATTCTACACTCCAATGCTCTACCACTGAGCCTCAGAGATTCTATGGCTAGCAAGATCCATTACGAAGTGCATGGTTTAGTTTGTACTTTAACTTAAAAAATTTCAGGAAAAGGCCGTTTTAGTTGTATAATATGTCAATGATTGCCATTGATGTAATGGACTCTGATTCACTGCTAAAACAAATAATTATATCCAGAAATTAGTTTCTGTGAAAACTCACCACATTTGGTGTGTTTTGGCCCCTTGAAACTGGTTCTAAATTATGATGATCTTATCGTCACTCATTTGATTAGTAGTTATCAACAACATATTCCTTAATCCTTTACACCCTAACATCAGTATGCATATTCTCCATACTGTTCTCTATATATCTCTTAGGGTGTTGAAAAGGAGAATTTGTGTAAAAATCAAGAGTTTCTTTAGTTGGTGATCATTTCTTTTATTCTTATGACATTAATGTGTGATTCAAGGGTGATATTGTAAGGAGAATTAGAAATCAGTCACTCTGAGAGGAAGAAAGGCTAAGTGGCCACCAATGATGTAATAGCAGGTTGCACAGTGGGTCAAAACCCAAACAAGAGAGTATCCTTACAGGCAAAACAGATGATAGTGAGAGTCTTACATGCGCCAGTAGACCACTGGTAACCAGCTTATATTGAAATTCATCATCATTGTCTTCTGTATGATTTAATATTTGATTTTAATGTTATTTTGTAATCCTTACACAGGTTATATTGGCTCAAGCTGTTGTTTACCTTTCAAGAGCTCCAAAATCCATTGAAATATTTAATGCATACGGTGAAGCCAAGAAGTGTGTGCGCAGTTGGGAGGGTCCACAGCCAACAGTACCCTTGCACATCAGAAATGCTCCAACAAAACTGATGAAAAGTTTGGGTTACAGTGCAGGATACAAGTATAATCCCTCATTTGATGGCCCTGTTGATCAGACTTATTTACCTCCAGAAGTGCAAGGTGTTGATTTCTTTACATGGAGCAAAAACAAATCTGGGGGAAATGATGTTTAAGAAATGCGGTGTTCCACATTCCAACATAGCATTTTTTTCTCAAAGATAGTTACTGGATATTTTGAATAATTTCATGTTGTGTTTTTTAAATAGAGTAAGACAGATAGGAGTCTTCCTCAAGGAATCAAATTGCAAACATTAAGACTTCCAATGTTCTACCATAGAGCTACAAATAATTTTTTTGATTGAGCAGTGTTGAAAGCACTGTGCACCTATAAAGGAGTAGGAAAGATGGTAATTTCTAAGCTTAGTGGTTGAACAAAAAAAGTTAATTCTTCTGTTGTAGGTGTTAGACATGGAAAAAATGTATACTAAGTACGTCTCAAGGTATTGTTATATACCTAGACTTACACTAAACAGAACAAGCACTGTGATTGGTTGATTCTTGGTTATGTGCCACTGATGAAATTCAAATGTATCCCGACCAGGATACAATTGCACAGTTGTTGCCTACGCACAGAATACAACAGCGGGTGATTGCCATATGATTGATTAAGGGAAAGTCTAAATATATAACAAAGCACTTAGTGTATGGTCCCTCACGAAACTAGTTAATTTTGTTTTCCCTAAAGTCTTGATGTTTTCCTCAACTTTATCTCAGGAAACATCAGGCCTTTCGGGAAAACAAAACTAACTGTTTCCCTGGGGCTATACATTAAGTGTATAATATTTTCATTACCTATTTGCAGGACAGTCTAAAGGCATTATAGGGAGAAGTTATCTGTTAATCACTTCCAAGAGTTTAAGGGTTAAAAGAATTAAAATGAAAAAATAAATATGAATAAGGGAATATTGTAATTAACTAAGATAGAAATGATGTTTAAAATATTTTTCGTAACTGTACTTTGTTTTTTTCACGCGAAAATCACTTCGATAACGTTTCGCGAAAAAATGTATAAAAAATTGTAGTTTGACAGGTCTTGGTAAACCAATACGATGTAAATTTGCCGAGTCATTGAAATGAACTGAAATGTATCTTCTTGACAAATTACTCACGAATCACGCCTTATTCTTACTGAGCAGTAATTTTCGGTGGAAACTAGCTGTTTTTTCCAAGTATTTTGGACCTTAATATCCTAAATGTTGGAGGTCTCTCGAGTACTACTGGTCTCTACTTCTCAAGTTTTCCAAACCTCCCGTGTGCGACCATAATATTCCCGCCAACTATAATAATTAAATAGTTGTCCAAGAAGAACAATCCAAAATTTTGGAAATTATTTTCAGACTATAGTTGGTTATAATTATTGGGGATCGCTAGCCCTTCAGATCACCATGTTCTCCCGCCATGCGTTCAAGCGCGCGAAAAGACAATGACTCGGCCAAGTAATGGTAACTACATTGTTCTTCAAAATGGAGGACGATACCATGCGAGGAAGTCCTTGAGTGTTTATCTCTTCCTGTCGCTGGATTCAGGCATATTTTTTTTTTCATTTTATTCTGCCAGCGGTTATTTCCCCGGTCCTCTCAATAATCTAATCAAAATGGTGAGCTTTGCCGATCTGGTCTCTTTGCCTAAGGGTGCTTCGAAGGCGAAGTGGCGAACTCTATTGTATATTTCGTGACTTTGCATACAAGCACGTCAACAATTCAGTCGTAATTTCAGTATAGTTATTAATTTTTCCTTTTAACATTTGAGACGATATTTTGTTCCCAATGAACGCTTTCTTCGGCCAAATGCCCAGTAAACTTTGCGTGCGTTTAACCCGCTCCGTGGTTGAAACTTTTGATTAAAAATTCCATAATTCCCATTAAACTTTACAGACGACATTCAAGCAACGTCTTGTTCGAAGTTTGGTCAATCACGGTTTAGCTGTTGTGGGCTGCACCACGGTTATAGTCACATATCATTTCTCGACGAGTGGCGACGAGAGATTTTACAGATCCATTGTCATGCCAATTGTAATGAAGGTTCTTGATGCTGAACGCGCCCATGCATTTGCTGTATGGTTGGCTTCCAAAGGTCTTGTTCCTGTGGACAGAACTGGTGATCCAGAGATCTTGGTAAATGCAAATGTTATTTGAGAAAAAGAA